TGTTGTCAACTCCATTACTTTCCCTTAGGACTTCGATGACTCTTCTCAACACTAGCAAAAATCATTCCATATTCGCTCGCTACAATCCTCCCCAGTTGGTCGCTGAAGCAGATACAGCGGTTTCTGCTTCAGCGACCAACTGGGGAGGATTGTAGCGAGCGAATATGGAATGATTTTTCATCGTTAAGTAAATGTCATTGTAATTAACTATTTTTTGTTAAAGTACTAATAAAATATGCAAAAAAAATTTTTATAAGCGATAACAATTTCTAAAATAATTAATAACAAAAAAAAAATTATACCGATAGCTTTATTGAAATTACTTAATATCACTCACACATCATCGCACACATTCTCAGGCAGACATGTAACACCGAATATTTTTGCTGATGTTCGAAAACACTCTCTAAACTAAACTAAAAATCGCTAAAAAAGAAAATTGCCCTGTCAAATATTACGTTTTCAGAATACGAAACGTTGTTTGACAGGACTAAATTAATTTTTAGTGATTTTTAGTCTAGTTTAGAGAGTTTTCGAACAGAATTACCACCATTGTTTTTTCCTTTAGTCGTCTATTAGGACTTCCATTTAAAAAAAAAGGGAACTTTTGTTCACGCCTAGTTATTAAATTAATATAAGTACTACGTAGACAATCAGTAGTACTTTCTACCAAGTTTAAGATACTTAATCTATTTTTCAACTAGGTAGATACATACGACTTGTGAACTTTGCAACCGATCCCTATTAGCTTCAAAATAATATTTTATTCAAAAATGAAATAAATTTGAAAAGTTATATAAGCTGAGCAATCAATCAATAAGCCTTTTATCCTGAACATTTTACATGGATTTCTAAAGTATATAAGTGTAGTAGTAGTAGTATATAAGTGCTTTTTTATTGTATAGATCTATTACATACAAACTTACAAGTTACATCTTTAAACAGTCATATTATTATGACATATAATTAAATGAATCGAGCATCTGTAGTCGAACAAAGTAAAGCCTGGATTTCGACTATCAGCGCGAACTCCCCAATGTACAATACATTCAGCCCTATTATTATATATTGCATGTATGCTATAGAACTATAATCTATATTATGTGTTTTACCTAGGCTAGATAATATAAAAATCAATCTAGTTTGTGCATGTGCTTGAGTGTGTGTGTGTATATATATGTATGTATGTGTGTGTGTATCTTTGTAACTATTACTAAATAATGTACATGAGTTTTTCAGTCTCTTCATTGCCTAATTTTTATAGGTATTTAATAAACTCTTTTTTGCACTGTGTCCCCGTTTGTGAATAAATATTGAGAACTTTGTTGTCTGCTAAATTTAGTTTTGCACACAAACGGAGATTCGCACACCATATATTTAAGTAATATATTTAAGTTTCTTTAACAACTGTAAATTATAGGTCATTTTATTGTGTTGTAGAATTACAATCTTCAAAATATAAAATTATCTTAAGACTAGAACTTCGCATAGTTGATAAAGCGCCGCAGTGGAATAGAATATGGGTTTATTATTGCAAACCTGAAGTACTGCTCACTGGGCAACTTCAACGGACTTCATCAAGTAATAGTTCAACACGTTCAACTAGTAATAGTTTAACACGTTGCCGCTAGATGGCCGCTCGAGCTATGGAAATACCACTTAAATATCCTAACTGATTTACCCTGTCTAGATCCAAAAATACAAACCTGGTCTACGAGATTAATTGCGTTTCGAATTGCAACACTAATAAAATTATAGTGTTCTCTTCCCTTTTTTTTAACTCACACTTCCCCCTTATCTTTTAACTTGCTGATTATTATTTTTTAAACTGCTCTTTATTTTTGCTCGTTTAGTCTTTAATGATAATCATTTCATCATTATACGTGGGAGAGCTATGCTTCGACACAGATGGGCCAGACTCGACAGGAGTAACGGCCACGGCCTTATAGAAACCGTTGTTAAGCATTTTTTTCTTTGCTTTTCACCTAGTGAGTCAGGTTAACGGAGCCCAAACCTCCTACTTCTTCCTATTTTAGCGAATGAAAGTCTCTTGAGTTGCAGGTATCATGGTCCGCGGTAGTCACTTACCTTCAGGTGAACCGTCTGAGGAGTCGTTGAGGAGAGCGCTCTTTTTTTAAGGTTCGGAGAGCGCTCTTTTTTTAAGGTTTAAAGATCGTATCAGTTAGGAAATACCGCAGCGACAATTTGTTTCACGGATTGGCTATACTATGTTAGAAATCGAAGTTACCTTAATGATAGTTCAAGATTGAGACTGACTTAATCTAGTCCAATTTGGGTTAAATTAGTACGAAGAGACGTTCACATATTCACCGATAAAGAGATAACATTAATTTGTCATATCACTTTGACAGTATTTCCTTAACTGCCACAGCCATCATTGGAATCCTGAAAGGGGCCATCTAGCGGCAACGTGTTGAACTATGGAGAGGGAGATATGCCACATTTAAACTGCAACTCAGTTAAGATTTGCTACATTATACTAATACAGATTAGTATAATGTAGCAAATCTTAAGGTTAAGATGCTTCGGTAAATAGATTTGACTCTATTATACTTATAGGAGGAACTACTTGTGAGGAAGTTGGAACATATAACATCTATATTTTGTTTAAATTTATACTAAATGTATGCATAATCCTGCCATAAAGAAGTGCAGTATCTACGAAGCTATTAGCTATCCTTCAATTTCCTAAAAAAAATATTGTAAGGTGTCCATGAATAACTTATGTAAAAGGTATTTTTTCATTCCGTTCCAAATCTATTTTATTTTATTTCATCTAATTATTTGATGGTAATTGCAAATTAATATGTTTGCCTACCTAAACTCAATAATATATACAGTGGACCCCCGGTAGTCCGACAAACATTTTGCAGGGCAGTGTCGAACTATCGAATTTGTCGGATTATAGAGTACTGCCTAAGACCCCCTATAGTCCGAATTTTTTTACAAAGGAGTACCTTGTAATCCGACAAATTACAGATCCAATGATAAGATTTTTTTATATTATATATGTATATGTACTCTGAAGTACAAATCATACTTTGTTATGTATGTCAAATTTAGTAAATTAAAGAACACAATAGATAGCTTACGTTTTATTATAAAATTAACATCATTAATGCTATAGCACTTACAAAAAATATGCAATAACTTTACATTAGGAAATAATTGTGTACAAACAAATGTACATACTAAAATAATGAAAAACTATGAATCAATCAATTTAAGAAGCATGAAAATAATCATCAATTTTTTTGTATAACATTGTTGAAACGCGAGATTAAAGCTTTGTCCCTCAGTCTTCTCAAAAGTAGAAGTTCGATGTAGGGTGCACCATTTTCTTTAGCCCATTGCAAACCCAGCTCAAAGGCGTCAATTGCATCTTGTGCTTTCACTTGCGGAGTAGTTGCAATACATTATAAATAATAAACCATGTCGGATTACAGGGGGTGCCGGATTAGACAGGGGCCGGATTACCGGGGGTCCACTGTATTTATACACAACGACATAATTGTCAGTATCTAAACACTGCTAAATAGTTATTGCATACGTAGTGAATTATTATTTTTATAATTAATTATTCTTATCGGATACAAAATCTCAGGTATATATTGTGATCTCAGGTAGGTACAGGCGATTATTTATTATGCAGAACGTCAGGATTGAGGAACCAAGTAAAATGTGTTTATTTACTAAATCCCCTCAGTTTTACTACTTTCTCCTGATGTTACAAATTCAAACGCACTTGCTAAATAATGTGTTTGAAGTATAATATTAATTTTGACCTATTACTTTCATGACAATTCACGCTCTTAAATATAGATTGAGGAGCCACATTAAAAGTATTGTATATTCTTGAATTTCAACAGTACTGGATTCAGATTTTTAGTAGGCACTATACAATTACTACCTAATGATACAACATTTTCAAAAATATTCATTAAATACTTGCCGTGTTCCAGGTGGCTCCTCAATGCAGATGTTTAGAGTGAGGAGCCACTTTTATATTTATATAACTTTGGATATATCTTACTACAAATTTCAGAATTTGTCCTACAAAATTATTTTCTCACCTACTAAATAAGGGGTGTTTCCGTTTTGGCCCCAGCACAGCACGGCACAGCGATGTTTATTTTTTCGCAAATTTTGTATCTAATCAAAGATTTATTTCGCGCGATTTTTTTTCCGCCACTGCGGATATATCCCACGTGTTACAGAAGACGGGACCTTAAAATCTGAAGTGGCTCCTCCATACAGACATTTTTATTTTTAGCAACAAATGTTAGTTATGGATAGTTAAGGAACCCATACATACAACAAATGGTAATCTTTATAATACTGCCATCTAATGGTTTTATAATAGTAATTAAACAACAACAATCTTTACAAGTGTTATTTAACTTAGGCGCTAGATGTCATGTAAGAAAATAAATATTTTGTTTCGTCTATAGTTCCATCTTAGAATTGTAGAGGGTACTAGTGACAAATCATTTGTCACAAGACACAAACGAAATCGTGCAATGCTAGAAGTAATTAGTAGGAGCACGAGACAGAAGCGGCAGCAACTGGTTTGACTGACACCATATTACTGAAAGCGAAGGCATTAGCTTATGTCGACCACTACTGAACTTACTACGGTTCTGTGTTAAGATAAATTCAGCGACAATTTGATCTTTACTTAAAATGGAAGCCTAATTATGGTGGACAGAATGACGAAGACAATCCGCAAGTGGGCAAGGCGAGGCCACAACCGGTTTTCTGTATTATAAGTTGTCAAGATCTAACAGATCTCTGTACCCCCAATGGCCTTGGTTAATAACTATCGAATTCTTTCTTAGGTTCTAACGACTTATGAACTATAATCATTGAGTATGTAAATAAAATGGGGATATCACAACTAAAATAAATAACCTTTATGTTAAGAATTTTTATTACAAAAATGCTGTAGCCCATTATAAGCGAAACTAAGCCTAACTAGTTCATAGAATACCAAGAGATCGCTCAACAACCGCATGTGGTTGTCCAGCCACTTCACAATATTCTGGAGTGCTGAGGATATCTTCAAAACCAATATCAAGATGTTTACCAGTCAGAACATCATGCTGGAAGTTTGAACGCTGCAGGAATGGTAGGTGACCAATCTGAAAATTGAAAAAGAACCACCTTTGTAGCCAAGGATATTTATTGATTCATCAGATTAGACATTAATCTTAAGAGCCCAGTACACAATGGCCCATGTAGGAACGCGGCAAGTCATCGCCGTTCTGTACACGGGGCAATGATATACAGTGGCGGACGGTTGGCCATCGTGGCCCACAATCGGTATGTTGTTGGTTTTTTTGGCACCCTTCAAAGGAATCGAGGCATTGCGTGGCCTGTGGTGTTTACACACTCGCCCATTGTTAAGTTCGTTACAGAACGCTGATGGTATAGCACACTTTTGACTACACACTGTAGTAAATCAAAATAAAACAATCCATACTTATACATATTATTATGAAAATGAGTGTTTGTTATGCTTTCACGCCTAAACCAATTTTAAAAATTATTTTACCAATGGAAAGCTACGTTATTAGCGAGTAACAAAGGCTACTTTTTACTTTGATAAGCAAAATACACGCGGGCGGTGCCGGGCAAAAGTTAGTATACTATAAAAGTAGTAGGTAGGTATTTGTTTCATATATTTAAAGTTACATCCATAACGGCATATAGTTAACATGTTATTATGTTAACTGTATTATGGATGTAAATATGTCATAGGTGTAAATATTACTATTTGTCTGTGTCTAATATTAGGTGTGCATAAGGTGGTAACATTTCATTACTTAAATAAGAAAAAAAGTAAATAGCGGAGACGGTAATTACTTCCACGTCCATCGCTAATATTTCGCCAGGCAACAATGAGCTATGCACCATTGTGTGAACACCTACGCGATGACGGCCTACAATTGGTTGAGATCAAATCAGCTGACGCATGATTACAACAATCCTTGACTAAATTTAACCCATATTATTAACTTCTCATTCAATCCCGGAGTTTTTCCCTCACTTTGAGCAAATCTTATTTATCGATTCTTCCCTTCCTCACCAAGGTCCTAGAATCGTGTGTGTTCACGCAGTTTTCCAAATTAATCTACAAAAACAAACTGTTGAGTCCGTTGCAGTCTGGGTTTGGGCCAACTTCCGCTCTTAAAGTGACTGGCGATATTAAGGTGGGTATGGAGGACATCAAGATTACTGTACTGGTTCTGGTCGACTTCTCGAATGCTTTTGATACCGTTAATCACGATATCTTTTTATCTATCCATTCTTATCTTAAGGTCTCGCCCGAAGAACGAATGGTTCTGATCTTATCTTCAGGGACGCCAGCAGTCTGTTCGTGACGATTTTCTACCCACAAAAACCAAAACCATGCTTGTGCAAACACTTATCTTCCCAATAATCGACTATCGTGACGTGTACTGTTATGACCTGAATGCAGATCTTCTCGATAAGTTGGACCGTCTTCTTAATAACGGCATTCGATACATCTTTAACCTCCGTAAATATGATGTCCGTCCTTTCTTCTACCCATTCGTCTACGTCGTAAATTACGCGCTCTCACCGTTTTATTCACTATTATTAATAACCCGTCTTCGCCAACGTATCTAGCTTCCTACTTCCAACTCTTATGTAATAAACACGACAGAAGCCTTCGGTTCTCCAATAACCTTCTTCTTCGTTGTCCCTCCCACCAGTCTGAGTTCGTTGGCTCATCCTTTTTCGTTCAGTCCGTTCTTCTTTGGAATGCACTTCCACTCGAATTAAAGATGGCCACCAACACATTTTCGTTTAAATTAAAAGTAAAGCAGCTAGGAAACAACTGGCAAAATCAATTTGCTCATGATTTTTTTTAAATATAAAATTGTTATCAATATCTATTTGGGTTGTCTAAAATTAACTGTAACCATAATGCACCTACTTCCTGTTTTATCTGCATCACCCAATGGTTGACTGGTAGAGAATGCCTTCGGAACTAAGTCCGCCAAATGTGTAGGATGTGTTAATAAAAAAAAAATTGCTTATTGCGGGGCTATACCCTCAACGGTCGGTGACGAACTTAACAATAGGCGAGTGTGTAAACCCTACAGGCCACGCCACGATTCCTTTGAAGTGGTCCCATAAACCCGACCACTGCGCGCCACGTTGGGCAATGTCCGCCCCTGTATGCCATTGCTTCATGTACACAATGGCGATGGCTTCCAATGGGCTAGCATGGGACATTGTGTACTAAGCCCTTTACATCAGTTGTTTTCTCTTGAGTCCTGACTGCTTTCATAAGCTATGACGATATAGCAAGTTTTGTTTCTGATATAATTAAAAGACATTTCAGATGATTATCAATACCTACATATATAAATAACTAGCTGACCCGCGCAACTTCGTCTGCGTCTCTCAATAGTAATAAATTTTCTCCGTTTTTGAAACATTCATCATAGGTGCTCCGCTCCTATTGGTCTTAGCGTGATGATATATAGCCTATAGCCTTCCTCGATAAATGGGCTATCTAACACAGAAAGAATTTTTCAAATTGGACCAGTAGTTCCAGAGATTAGCGCGTTCAAACAAACAAACAAACAAACTCTTCAGCTTTATAATATTAGTATAGATGTAATAATACATATAATTTCTAGTAACTACCTATAAATACATTTTTGGAGGTTCCAGAACGATATAATCCGAATCAATTTAAACATAGTGTTTAATTTGTCAAAGTGTTGATAGTATTATTAGAAGTGTTGAGTATTAAGGGAGTAACATTCTGATAACCTTAAGAACACATTTTCATATAAATACACACCTTACTGGTAAATTTCATTTCCATGGAGAGCTTGAGTGGCGCATGGAGACCCTGGATGTTGCGAAGCATAGCCATGTTCATTTTTTCTTGATTTAAATGATACTGTAAGTAAAATGATATATGTATAATTAGAAAGCAATAGAAAAAAATAATCTAAAACAGGATTCAACTGAAAACCCTACTTACGTATTAATTATATGTTATTTATCAGGTCTAAAAAAAGTATGTAGTTTTTTGATACATTACATCACAACATAACAGAACAGAAGAATTTTATCCAAATATAGTTGCCACTATTAATATAATAATAATACTAATATGTATGTATTTAAAAATATATAAGTATGTTTATCAGCAGTCTGGTTACCATAGCACAGGCTCTGCCTAGTTTTGGATCTGACGGCCATGTGTGGGATGTGTGAGGTATATTATTATATTATATTACTATTTTCAGCTACTTGTACCCCATGCTTATGTAAAACCTAAATCCCTCTTTTGTTAAATTCTTGTTTAAATACATAAACAAGGCACATTTACTTTACATATTTGAACAAGGGATAATCAGCAGGGTCAATATCAGAAGAAAGTGTAGGTGAGGGAGAACTTACTATCCCAAATGGCGTTTCCGCCATGATTCTCACAGTATGTGGTTGTGTTATGGCAAAGAAGAATTTTCCTTTACAGTACGGAGTCGTTTCCTCTTAAAGTATAAGCTAATAATTTGAATTATGCACACTTTATTTCTAATGGTTTAGTTGCCTGGTATTAAAGTTCACAATTAAAATTTCTGTTAAAATTCCACCAAACACACAAAATCACTCATTTCACATGCAAGGCATGCTTGGGCATGGGCTTCATTGTTGTCCAACCATAGAGACTGACTCTTTGATTAATATTATATATTAATCAAGGAGTCAGATAATTAATCAAGACATAGATAGCAACTATTTTTCACCTCCAGTAACAAATTGCTGTATAAAAGCTAAAGGTTTTAAAGAAAAAACATTTAAAAAAAAATTGTGACACAGATTGTGGTTGTTAGCAGTTAATTTAAGTGCAACCCAATTTCTAAACTTTTAAATCTTATTTTAAAGCAGTTGCAAGGTGCTGTTATGTTATTTGAACATTTTAATCTAAAAAAAATATTAAAATTAGTTATAAAATGTATAAGAAAACTATATTTATTTTTAATAGCCCTATTGAATTGGTATGGCGTTACTCATTGTCTAATAATCAAATTGTCAATTAGAAAACATACAATGGACAGATTATAAGTGTGCATACATATTTTCAATATTTAAATGCTTAGGCTGATAAGTTGGAATCTTATACATGTTCTCAATATATATAACAAGGTTAAGTTGTTTTGTGTACGTTTTAAAAACTAAGTTCAAGTTCTGCATCAATCTAACTCTAATTTTGATATGATATATAAACTGCTTCAAGATTGTTTTTATCTATTTTTCACTTTAGTTTTGTTCCTCATGTCTCATCAATGTGACCCCAGTGATGCGTGACATGGTACATCTGGCTTAGACTTATAACTTGAAATAGATATTGAGAATCATTTTCTTCTTCAGTAAGGCTTTTGATTGTTTTATAAAGCAGATTCAATGACTTTGTTTTCTTATTCTTTTTGAATCCTCATAATTTTGCAAGGTAATAAAAAGCAGTATATACAGATTGTAAGAAAAGAATTATTACAGATACCTACTTTTCCATTATTTAGAATATTATAAGTTAATACAAAAATTAAAAAAATTAGCTGTACTCTGCCGTGCTGTGATGAGGCATATTGTGTTTGCATTGATGCGAACAGCGGAACAAATCTGACAGAAAAAGTAGTGCACAAATCAACTTAACATTTATATATATATATCTATTTTAGCAATAAGTAGTTCCCACAAATGTAATAGGTATGCATATAACCTCAATTATTGTATGCAGAATAATAAAAAATACATTGTGTTTAAATATGCCTAAAGATTTTATGTTAAGTCATTGGCGGTAAAATAATTAAATATCTAATAAGTACCATACTTACATTTCTTTCTGATGCTTCAAGGGGATGTGAGACACCAAGTTTGGACCTGGTAGCACCAAGACCCGCAACCAGAGGGTCTGGCACACCAAACGGGCCTTCTTGTGGTTTGATGTTGCTGCCATACTCAGGCTTCACTTTCAGGGCAGGTAGACCAAAACTCTGAAATTTTATACGTAAAAAATGCGAACCACCTTATAGGAATACAATAACCTATAAACTATGTTTTATCTTACCATTTTTATGTTTTCGATATAACGTTCTTCAAGATAAGTTAAGTTACCTTAAACTCCAAACTTAAGTATGGATTTTAGTTTGTATAAAATTCAATAGTTGTGCCGACACTCCAATCAATTGTTTCAAACAAATATATGTCAAATTTTGTTAACTCATGTCCAATGTTGCCACGTCAGGCACATTCCACAGATAGCTCTATTCTAATCAGAATTTATGGTTTCAATTTAAACTTTTTTTTAAACTGACTGTATTTTAATGTAAGGAAGGAATGTAAGATAAGGAAAGTATACATTCATCCTGGAATATTGAGAGATCCAGACAATGTTCAATAAAGTGTCCCTTTCAGCATAACGTTAAATATGGGGAAAAAATAAATGAATTACAAAGTAGCTCATTCACAGAATGGTGTATGTTCACCTTTTTTTTTCTGTGCGGTAATACCACCCACCGGTGGCTATATCTTACGCATGCCTAGAAAGGAAATCAGTGCTACCCCGACGTACCTCAGGCCATCTACGGCGGGTAGATGACCCCTTCCCGTGTCGGAACCCCCATGTTCCCATTGTGCTCCCAAAAGGGCGCGCGCTCTCTTCTAAGCGTCTCATCACCACCCTGGCCTGCTTCTGCTAGGGTGACAGATGATGTCACCTGTCAACCCCAGGTCTGCGCTTGCGTCAGGACGGAGGTCGTTGGTGTATGTTCCCTATAAAATGCATGGTAAACAGAGTACAGACTCTGATTTTACCAAAGCAGACAGGAGACGAGACGAGAGGAGATGGGCTGCAAAGCTGGCAGGTTATTTCCACCAAAGCGGAGCTGTGTGTAGCAGAAATGTAAACTGTGAGAGCTCGAAACCAGTCAAGTACTGTACTGTACTGTCAAGTCCAGTCAGTAAGGTCACTGTAGCTACGAAAGGACAACGTCATATCGTATCGATAGTTATATCTTAATTTGCTTGAGAAAGAGTAATTAGAGGTTGAAGGAATACGATTAATTCTTCAATATTTAAATTATCAATATCAATATTATATTATACTCTCCACACTAGATGCATCACATACGCGATGACCTATGTTGCTATGACATAATCAAGTGTAGGTAAAGTATAAACTCCTTGTCAAAAAAAATTAAATATAAGTGATCAAAGCCGTACTCTTTGGTAATAGTTTGCAAAGAGTTAAAAATACTACAAATATACGTTAGATAGATAGTTACTTTTGGCTAGTTTTGTCAATTATCAATATGTCATTCATGCATTTGTATGCTTCTATTCATTCATAGTTACCCCTAAAATTTTCGAGTAATATAATAAGAATTAATTAGAATCAAACAAAAATGGGACCGAAAAAGAAAGATGAAAAAGAATTAGTAAGTTCGTTGTCACTCGTTTTAATAGAAACCGTCTTGAATCATCATCATTGCGATATTTCTGTCCTCTTATCACCTCCTCACCTTTTATTTGGAGCTGGGGCAATGTCTGACATTGAAAAAAGTTTTGACTGACACCAAAAGACCTTGGAAATAATATATTTTTAGTGACACATAATTATAAAAAGTGCCTACCCAGAATAGTCGGCATGGTTAAAATAAACAATTTTGAGCACATTACTAAACCTAAGTATTTGTGGCCTTGGCAGCAAGATTACGACATATTTTTTACTCACTACTGTTTATTTATTTTATTTTTTTGCCTATTGACTTTTTTTATTCCAAAAGGTAACCTGTGAACAATATTGTGATATTGAAAATTTTGAATATTAGGAAATGTAGTTGCTTGCTCTACCTCTTTAAAAAACATAATAATAATTTGTCGGTGCAGGGTGATTGAGAATAACAATTTTGACTCAAAATTAGTTTATGAGCCACTGATGTCGATACCTGCTACTATTACTTTATTGTTGTAAAACCTCAAAAAATTGCAACAATTATTAGTAAAATAATAAACGGCCTAACAGTAGTGGTAATTTTTGCTAGAATCCAGAACAAGAAATGAAAAGAAAATTCAAAGCCAAATGTCGTTTCCGAGCACTTGGCCGGATGGTGATGGCAAACACATATTGGCTGTTTGAAGCCGCAGAGCAGTATGAAGGCGTTGAAGATGTTAAAAGGCGAGTTGCACAAGCTGTACGCGGGAAGACCAAGAAGAAGCGTTTGCTAAGCATAACGGTTTAACAATATTTTCTTTATCATAAAAAATATGAAACAAATAGGAGACAATACTTGTCAAAATCTAAGTAAAGAGTTTTGTTATTCTGTGGTAACAAGATGAGCTAATTAGATCTTCGACAATCTCCTTTCTAAAATAAGTGCGCGAATGAAAGAGAACAACATTATAAATCAATATAAACTCAAATTTGTTTGTTTACAGGATAAAGCTCTTCTAAATAAGCCTGCTGCGGAAAGGACTGATTTAGAGAAAAAGTATATTTTTCGTATTATAGGCGGCCTGAAATGTTTTAAGCGGTATCCTAATGTAAACTTCTATTTTGACAAAACAAATAGACTTATTTCATGTAACACTTGATGAACTTAAAATTTTGTTTTGTTGTCCACAGCATGTAAAAAAGAAATTAGCAGCTGTAACGTATTTTAAGTATTATGGGCCAGACCGTGTGATAGTTCGGCAACATCAAGAAGCACATGCGTTATATTTCATAGTTACAGGTGATGTGATCGTCAGCCACTTGGTCTACGACGATCTTTTGCAACAAAATGTGTCTGTGGATATTGGGATCATGCACGCGGGAGATATGTTCGGCGAAGTATCGTTGTTGCATAACATTTTACGAACTGCAACATGCACCACTGCTGGTTAGGATGTCATTAAATTTGTAGTATGACTAAAACTAATTACCAATGCACCTCTGTCAACAAGCTGCTCTAAAATAAAATTACAAAAACCTAAGGTTTGCATTGACATAAACTAAATTAGCGGTTAATTTGCGATAAAATTATGGGTATATTTTATTCATTGGAGCCGTAGCTACAAAGATGAAATTTATATTATAATATTGCAGACCCCGCTTGACTATTCCAGCTTATGTGGGGTACTTAATCGGCTAACAAACTGACTAACAAATCATCTTGTTATTGGTTCACTAATAAGAGATACATTATTATTGAACAAGCAATGTAGCGTAGTAACCATTCGAGTTGTTGGCGAACAGTGTGGATACAACTGCGTGAATTTGATAAGTGCTTAAATATAAATAGTGCATATTTATAGGACATTGCGAATTACTTATCCTAATGAAGGAAGACTTCAAAAATGTACTTCAAGCGAGTGTTCAAAGACAATGGGACGAAGTAAAAAACGCAATGTCAGCGTTCAATTACTTCGATGGCCTCGACGAGGTAAAGTTTAAATATAATTGTATGTTAATGTCTTATCCTTTTGTTATACGCTGTGCATTCGTTCCTGAGTTCGTAAAAGGTAGGTAATATACTCGTACATATATTTCGCCTATTAAGAATGTAGGATCTGCAAATCAGCAATTTTACAGGAGAGCGCGTCAAAGTTTAAAATTGCTTAAAATATATATATATTAAGTAATTTTATTATTAATAGGTATAATTTTAGTAAGGACAGGCGGTTTATGTACCTACCTACCTAAATTTGATTTACCTTTCTCAATATAATATTACGTGGGGCATTACATATTGATAAGCAACACATCTAGCAAAAACATATTTTCACAAAAAGGAAACAATTAACATTACAATTACTTGGTTAATGGGTCACTGTTCATAACTGTCACTATGTAGCAAGCTTCTACTCTACAAAATGATCCTTAAGTCGATTTGGACCAACAGAATGCAACTTTTAGGAACAGCCTCCCATTCTAACATCGAAATCGTGCAAGTAATCCAAAACAAAATCTTGAGAGCGATGTGATGTGCTCCATGGTTCGTCACAAATGAACTAATCCATCACGACCTGCAAATGTTCACAGTCAAGCGGCCTCAAGCAGGAAAAACTCCTACATCCAAACAAGTATAAGGATAGCATTAAAAACCATTAAGGATCAAAGACGATACTACAATCAGTAGATTGAAGCGGAAGATGCCCCAAGGCACACTTAAAACGCAACAGTAAAGTAAAGAAGGAGGCGGCGCAGGTCGCTTACCGAGCATGCCAACAATCTATCCCTAACCAACCTACTGATAAATGTCCCTGTGGCGATAGATCGCAATGTTATTGAAGAGAAGAAAAAGTGTGCATTTTGTGGATCGATTTTAATTAATTCTTAACTGATTTAAAAATCCTGTCCTGTATAGCAATGAATAATTTTAATTGCAAAAATAAAATCAAAATGTCAAAATTAACGTTAAAACCTAGAACAAATGTAAGCTGAAACGTACTGATTATTAACGTTACCGAGGACAGAAAAGAGGAATCTTTTCTAAATGACACGGTTTATAAATAATATATTGAACATGGGTGAAATAATATATAACATGAAACTCCTAGTTTACGCAGTTGAATTATAGGTTATTATATTATTTTACAAAATTATTGGTTAAGTCAGCCTTTAGAGAAAAAAAATTGTAAATCCTACTCAGAACTTTTTTTGTGATGCGACAGACAGATACACATATACGCAAATACGGAGATACATAATAATATATTATAACGATCCATTGTGCGTCGAGGGTCACAGTATCTATGTGAGTGATAAGTATGATATAATATAACATTTTTTTACAGGTTGCTCGACGCGAAGGTTGCATAGTGGCTAAAATGAAATCATATGGTGTAAATGAGATCATACTTGGAGATGGTGTTGGAGTGGCTAACTTTGTCTACTTTATATTGTCTGGACGTTGTCAGATGATAGAATCTTTACAAGTTTGTGCAACCACTCGACTGGGCCGTACTACTTACAAGTTATACGACCCATATGTATGTGTTCTTTACATTTCGTATATTGTTAATAATATAGGTACTGTAATGAAGTCAAGTTTAAGAATGTCTAATCCTTCAAAAATTTTAATAGTGATCTTCTAAATTGTTTACATAGAAATCAATGTTTGTTTCCGTAACATTCATCCGATCACGATTGCAAGTTTCTTCCAAAAGAAAATGTTTTTAACTGTGGTAAAATTACTTTCGTACGCGAAGCCAAGTGCAAAATCCTGTTTTAAATAATTTATACTGAAACTATTCCTAGATTTGTCACTAACAGTAGGTATGTGTGTTCTACATAAAGTAAATATTTTATTATTTATTTAAAATACACAGACTGCTTAGAATCGATTCGTGATGACAAAATGAGAGTTTTCTCTAATGTATTCATAAACAATATTTCTAACAAAGACTAAAAAGTAGCCCTAGAAGAAATTTCGGTATTTACTCGAGCCTTACATCCAGTTGATTTCCTCCACCAAAAATGAGCCCTACATATTTTAGGGGCGTTTAGGGTAGCCATCAGATTAGTTAAAAAAAAAACCATGATCACAAATACTCGATAAACTATCGACTAAGATTAAGGTAAGTTGAGTCAATTTGAGCGTGACAAAGCAGTGGCAGGGTCACAAAATTAAAAAAAACAACACATAACCATGACTTTTTTCTTTATTTTGCAGAAAACAATGCAAGAAATCTTCTTTAAATGTCGACATATCCTTTCGTGCCTTTATTTGTTACATTTTATTAAAAAAAAAAATGCAATATTTCTATTCGTCAGACTTAAAATACCCTGCAAAATTATCGTCAGATATTTGGCTAGTATAAGAGGAATATCAAGCTCGGGTATTTCGAAATGGCGATTTTGAATTTGCAGTTTGCATTTTTGATAATTCTCTACGAGCTTGTGTTCCTTCAAAATCGTCAGACCTTACAATGGGAGCATTTTTGACGTCCAAATAACATATCCCTAAAATATCTGATGCGCCCGAATAAGTTTTTCAATTTCGTCCCCTTACATTTTTGAAAACCTGTAGAAACTTTCCCCACAGCTGAAAGTGGAAACATTATAAAACTTTTATTCATTCTATTACCTAATCTTTCAAATGGAATAGATCCAAACGACGCTCGAGTAAATTTCCATTTAGTGTCATGGGCTCCCCTACTAAAAGTAAAGGGATAACGTAATCTCTGACACTATTGGTCTGATTTTGAAAACTTTCTTTAATAGGACGCTACATTCCGTACTACATTAGTAGTCATCTACCATCAGGTGAAGTGTCTTATCGTCTGCCTCCTATTACCTATATGATAAAAATTAATATTTAATGAAAACGATTTGAATTAATTCACCAATAAAACAACCATGTTTTTTTAAGGTTGAAGAAGAAGAGAGTGAACAAGATATGGATAAAAAGTATTTTGCTGCTTATAAGAATCTCAATAAAAGTGATACTACTAGTTCTTCAAAAGGCAGTAGAGAACAACGCAGTTCAGTTGAGGGGCCCCAGGATAATGCAACAGAACAGGCGTCTGAAGAACCTAAACGTCGACCAAGCATATTAAAAACGACAGACAAATCAGAGACACGTGAATCTAGTGCATCTAATGTATTAAGGGTTACACTCGCGAGTAATTCATCCGAACAAAAACGGGCTAATACTAAAGAAAACGAGTTTAGTCCACTTGCGACAGTCCAGGAAATTCTACCCACAACCGATGCGCAACGCGATTCTATGAGGTAAACAGTGCGTTTAATAATACGCACGTAAAGTTGTAATCTAACAACACGCCACTATTCATATTATCTACTTGTAATGACCCCTAAGGGAATGTTTTGATATGTAAATCTCAATCCTCCTACTACGAGGAGGTATATGGCTCTGAATACAACTTCTTAGTTCATCATTGGAACACTTCTTTTTTCAAATCCACCATGGTAATAAACAAGGCGTACAGTATGCCTGCTTAATAATGAGTCTACACCAAAGGCATTACAGCAATATCGGATGAATATTCTATTTTTCGGCCGTAAAGCCCCTTTTTTTTTTTTTTTTTTTTTTTTTTTTTTCCGTGCGGAAATCCCCTCGGATACCACCTGTCGGTGGCATGTCGGACTCGAACCGACTAAAACCGCACGCCTTCGCCGGGTACTAATAGCCGGGGAACCAGGTATACCCTAGAAAGGAAGGCCCTGGTGCCCCGACATACCTCGGGTCATCTACAGACGAGTAGACGACCCCCGCCCCGTGTGGGAACCCCATGTTCCCTGTGCTCCCTGGAAGCGAGCGCGCTTCGCAACGCGCTCGCCGCCACCCCGGCCTGCTTCTGCTAGGGTGACAGATGGCCTCACCTGTCACCCCCAGGCCTGCGCTTATGGAGGACGGAGGTCGTTCTGCGACCTCCGGCGCCTGAGTCGCCTGCGCTGCCTGGCCCGTGCCCGGGCCTGGCGGGCCGGGAGAGTTCTAAACCTCTCCCGGTCCCGCTCCGCCGTCTCCTTCGCGAGCATAACTTGCTCGCAGAAGGAGACGGCAGAGTTCCACGCACTCTCGCTCCGCACGATAGCCGCAATCAGGCTATCGAGCGAGAGAACTCCCACTCCGATGGCCGTCACGAGGTCTCGCCTCTGCTCAGCCCACGCCGGGCACTCTGCCAGCGTGTGGAGAGCCGTGTCCACGGTCTGGCCATCGCAATGGTGGCACTCAGGCGTTGGCTCCTTGCGGATCAGACACAGGTGATCTCCGAAACATCCCTTCCCAGTGATCACCTGCGTCAATCGGTATGAGAGGGTCCCGTGACGCCTCTCGAGCCAATCCTCCATAACGGGTCTTACCGCCGCAATGACGGCGTGCCCAGCGCTCGGTTGCCCGAGTCGTTCTCTCCACTCCCCCATGATGACCTGGCGGAGTTGGGATTTCCGGTCATCGATTTCTCGAATCTCGGGGGATCGACCCAACTCCTGCGCCTCCTTGCGCCACTGATACAGAGCCGCAAGGGCTCTCGCCTCCAGGTCCCATGGTGGAGTTCCGGCCAGGAGACTCGCCGCCTCAAAGGAGATCGTGCGGTACCCCCTTATGATCCTGATGGCCAGCATTCGCTGCGGTCGTCGCAGTATCGCGACGTTGCTGGCCTTCAGGGCCCCCGCCCATACTGGGCACCCGTAAAGGGCCATGGACCGCACAACCCCCGAGTAGAGTCTCCTGCAGGAGTCATCGGGTCCCTTCATGTTGGGCAGCAGCCGCGCCAACGCACGCGCTGCCCCAACCAACTTGGGGACCAGACCTCGGAAATGATATCCGAAGTCCCATCGGCCATCGAGTACGAGCCCCAGATACCTGATCGAGGGCTCGATGCCGATGCGAGTGCCTCCTACCGTGAGGCTAGATCCCTCAGGCGGCTTCCTCCGAAGCCCGTGGAAGAACAGGGCCTCGGACTTGTGCAGAGCCACCTCGAGACCCAGCCGCCGGATACGCTCAACGACTTGGGCAACCCCGGCCGTGGCCCTCAGGGTTGCCTCGTGGTGCGTCTTGCCGCGCGCCGTCACGAGTGTGTCGTCCGCGTAGCACACGACGGCGACACCATCCAAGAAGGCACCACGAAGCACCCAGTCGTAGCCGATGTTCCACAAGAGTGGCCCTAAGACCGACCCCTGCGGAACACCGCACGACATTTCACGCCTACCGAGACCGGTCCTACTGGGGTAGACGACGGCTCTCTCCGACAAATATGCCCCGACTATGCGGCGGAGGTAGAGAGGCACTTCGTGATACACGAGCGCCTCCCTGATGCAGCTCCAGGGCATAGTGTTGAACGCGTTGGCGATGTCCAAGGACACCGCCAACACCACTTCGCCCCGGGAGACTGCTTCCTCCGCCAGAGCCTTCACGCGCATGATCGCATCCACGGTGGAGCGCCCCTGACGGAAACCGTACTGGTTGTCCGCCAGATCCGGCCCAACCATCACGAGATGCTTGACGAGGCGCCTTGCAATCACTCTTTCAAAGAGCTTGCACACCTCGTCAAGCAACACTATGGGCCGGTAGGCAGACGGTGAGTCCGCCGGGCGCCCCTCCTTTCGGATGAGGACCAGTTTCCCCGTCCTCCACAATTTCGGAAACTGGCCCCGCTCGAGGCATGCGCTGAAGAACCCTCGCAGTCGGGGCTCGAGAGCCTCGTCGACTAAGGCCAGGACCCACGCTCGGCCAGGAATGCCATCGGGTCCCGGGGCGGTGTTTTTGGCTTTAAGCCGTAACACCGCCACCCTTAGTTCCACCTCAGTGACCTCAGGCACGTCGTCGTCATCCACGTTAGGCGCCTCAAGCGCCGGAGGCGGAGCCATCTGTGGCGGAGTATGCTCCACCCACTCGCGTTGGGAACAGGGAGCCAACGACCCTCTCAAGCAGCTCTGGCTGAAGACACCGTGTGAGCGGCGGGGCCCATGGGCGCATCTTGCCCCTAACCATACGGTAGGGGCGTCCCCACGGATCCCGCTCCAGTGTCTCCAGCATCTCGCGGCGGGCCTCGCTCTTGGCCCGCTTTATCGCTGCCTGAAGGGTCCTCTTGGCAACCCTGTAACCCGCTAACAGCTCCGCCTCTCTCGCTGCCGCATCTTCGGGGCGGCGACGCCTCCTGCGGGCCGTAAAGCCCCTAAAGCTTTAAACAACCTAATAGATTTAATGACACTGAAACAATACATGAATTTATGTTTCTATTTGTTTTTAACTCTTTGATAACCCAATACACATATTCTGCAATACTCATAATCTCGTTAGCATAGTAATGTCCCGTTGTTATTACAGGTTAAGTGTTGAATTAAAGATTACGCCACCGCCACCCAATCTTCAGACTTACTTCATGCAGGTACCTGGTTTTAATCATAAACCTTTACTCAAAATAAATTAACAAAACTCAAGTTATGAGAAAACTTTTCATTATGTGAAATATATATAAATAGTATGTATTTTATTTCTTCATTATAACGCTATTGAAAACACAATAAATACTTTATAAAGTTAGAGAGTGGAAACCAGAAGTCATAAACGCGAATGAAAATTTTAATTAGCGTAATCTGAAATTAAAAAATTCTTTATTGTTATTTTATACTTTTAAGGGCCGATTCTGTTTATCTGAGGATTGATCCTCAGATAAACAAATTTAATGCTCGTTTCTTAATTGATTCTATTTTATTCTAATAATAAAAAATAATACTATATAATAATAATAACACGCCATCTAGTCCCAAACTAAGAGCTTAGAGCTTGTATTATGGGTACCAGATAATAGATATAAATAAATATACAATTTAAAAATTAAATGTAAATCTAAACAAATTGTTTGAATGGAGCGGGAACTTAAACAACGACCTTATGAGTTCGGTACAAACCACTACACCATTGTTTACCGTCACTACCACCGTCAATAAGGTTGTCTTATTATATGACAGACAAGTAATGACAAGAAAAGAATGACACCAATGTTGTCTAACTTGTTACTATGTTAAACCGCAGTAAGCTTGGCCCTCCTGATGGTTTGCGGGACGCGGGGCGGGTGATGCGCTCGGCTATACATGACACGATGTACTAACTCGATATCTTCAGATTTATTTGTTTGAGATTTAATCTACACACGATGTAATAAAAATCGAATTTATTTCCATGTATTATAATGTCAGTGTATTGTAAGTTTTTATGATTAATTGTAAAATTTAATACTGTAAAATAATTTTAATAAAATCACCTTATCTTCATCATGTAAATTATGTTCAGATACAATTTAAAAATTAAGTAAAATAATAAATATTCTTTTTTAGAACTTTAACAGTAGAACCTCTGTAAGCCGAACTTCAAGTTTTCAAATCTTTTTGTGACGCAGAGTCGGCAGATTATCCATGTTGCAAAATAATACCGTGTGTAGCAGTCTTAAGAAAAATAACACGTACGGCCATACTTTCACGCACTAGCTAATTGGTTGAATGCACCCCCGCCCCGCGTCCCCCAAACCATCAGGAGGGCCAGGCTTACGGCGGTTTAACTATAACTGTTAAGCCGCATCTCGCTTGTACTTATTTACAGTGAACTTAGCTATGAATTACCATCAAGTAACTATCTCTCGTTTTATACCCGATTGAAAAACAGAAAAAGTTTATTCGCTTGATAAACAGGAAGACAATTTTTTTCTCAAGTTCGTTGTCTGACCAGTATACAGTATAACTGAGGATTGAAAAACCGGCTCTAAATTGAGTAGGTATAGGTAAATGAAGTATACAAAGACTGTAGTTCCTCACTTAATTGAAAAACTCATTCTCTTAGGTGATTTACAGAAGTATGTTTTGTGAGGTTTTGGATTCAATTTGGCACGCTATAACGTGTCACCTATTTTCCAGTCAAGTTAGCCCGAAAAATAGGGTACCCCACCCTTGCATGAATGCCCAAGAAGCTGAATTTTTGCATGAACGTGACGAATTTTCACATTGAAATTGTGAAAAGTGTCATCGATCGTATGTGTGCAAAAAAATTTATGCAAGGTTAAAGTTCGTAAAAATAGGGTTTTTAGACTTTTTAGCAAATCGGTTAGTTTTATTATAAAAAAAGGTCAGACAAAAGGTTGATCATGAAATTATCTACAAAGTTGTCTTTGCATTTTTCCCCATAAGATTCACTATTTTTGAGAAACAGCGATTCTATAATTTACTAAAGCTGTATTCCCCATAATATGCATGACTACGCTGCCCATGTACATCTTTGGACACATAATTTTAGTAACACTATTACAGCCTTCCTAATAAGCTTTTATGTACGACGTATATCAGGGTTATAACATAAACGTTACCAATCTATATCTATAAAAGAAGAAACTGACCGACTCATTCACTGAAATGAAATTTGAAATTTTGCATGAAAATTTGCACAAATGTTCCTTAGGTGAACCAGGTGAGCACTAAGACAGGATTTTTGGGAATTTATGCGAGGGTGAATATCTATTTTGACCGGACTATTAGCGTATCTACAAGCATTGCGGATATTAAACTGTTGTCTATATTATTAAGGTCTGTCAATTCAACCCTGGATCTACATTTGGTTTCGGCGAAAATATGCGTGATCGTCGCATAGTGGCGTTAACTAAAGTCGACTGCATGATGTTACCCAAAATATGGCTCCTGCAACGCAACACTGCGAATATTTGGACCCGTATTGAACATTATCTGAATAAAAAGGTTGGCTTTCAATAAAAAACGTAATACTCTGCTGCGGTTTCGTATCCTATGTATACATCAGTTATTTATAATAATATATCTTATTAGGTAACCGACTGTTAAGCTAAACTGTGTATGAAATTACCCTTTCTACATTAAGCGACTATACTTGCATTGTCCCTTTTGGACAGGAAACGGTAGAAATTAATCACTAATCTATAATAATTCCTTTAAAATCGCTTAGTTCCTTTTTAGGACAATCTCGTATAGTACTATCGCTGGGTGATTTTTTACCAACTCAGTCAGAAGATTACATGTTTACTTTAAAGTATATAGGGGAATCTGGAGAGGAAAAATTAGCCGTGTCCACGCATTCGATTATAAGTAAGGTTAACGTATATATATTATTATTTTTTCAGATACCAACTAAGAAGCAATTATTTAAAGACTTTGTGACTGAGCGGCGTTGGCTCGAGTTCCGCGAGCAGTTGGTAGAAGATGTTCTGTCTCGTTCTAACACTGTCAACTGGACCTCAGTTCATGATGTACCGTATTCTATACGAATGGAAGAAATGATAGATATTTAATTATTCTTTAGTGTTCTGGGCAAAAATTTCTCAAAACAAAACATTACTCGATGCACAGTTACTTATTTTGAACTAGCTAGTACGATTAATCGAATTTTAGGCATTTATATTAATTCAGTTAGATTCAAAGGTAAGTAACAAAAAAATAAGATGATTGGTGATAAAATGAAAAATGATTTTCTTAGGAATTATTTGCTATAAGAATTTTCCTGTTAATTTTTATCATTTATTTTATTTTTTATGATAAAAACTTAGTTGCGTTATTTCTTGTTTGTATTTCTTGTTTATTTAAAATACTGATGGGACGGAATACTAATACTATATTTTTGTAATTGTAATTGTTAACGTCGTTTTAAGTACTTGTTACTTTATGTTTAGTAAATTTAGTTTATTTAAACTTTTATTTTATTGTCTGTAGACATAACTAGTAAACATCTGCAAAAATTGTTTACTGTATAAGTATTTCAGAACGGACAATTGCGTTTAAAGTATTACTTATTATTCCAAGGTTAAACAAAATCCTATATTATTTTTGGTAAAGAAATAGTTTTAAAAATATGTAATATCTTATTTTATTACTATACAATAGTAAAAAAAGGTTAATTACTACTAGCTCTGTTTGTTCCTATACCTTCATTGTTGAAATGGTTAAAGAATGTAACTATGATAAAATTCCTAAAATTAAAGTTAAAAACGCACCGAAAGAAAATTAATTTAATGAATGAATGCATAAATTTTAATAATGATCATGTGTCTGATTTCCGTGAAATATTCCTTTTAGTCAGAACGGTCATATTTTCTCTTTTTGCTGTACAGTATATTGTTTAATCATTTTTCACCTTCCTATAAGCAACGATTTTAGTTCCTTTACCCAGTCTAAGCAAGCAATATTTATGGTAATTTACCGACACGTGACATGGCGAACGCATGGGAACCGATAATGAAATTTAGCAAACTGTTTTGTTTCGTTATGTGTCATCATGATTTGTTGATATTTTCTCTTTGAATTTGTTTTTCTTTCGCATGAGTTCATCAGTCTGATTTTGTAGCCCACGAGAAGGAGGCAGATGTCGTTAAAATCAAGTTTTGGAACAAAGTTCCTTCTCACGCGTTACACGTTTTTTTCCTTCCTTCCTGCTTACGCTTAGATCTTTTAAACTAACCAACGGTTTTTTATGCTGTTTTCACTAATAGAGAGAGTGATTCAAGAGGAAGTTTAATATGTATAGTGCCTTAAAGTATGAAATAGCGATCGTACTGAAAAATTGTTTTTAGGGTTGCGTACCCAAAGGGTAAAACGAGACTATTACTAAGGCTCCCCTGTCCGTCCGTCTGTCTGTCTGTCCGTCTGTCACCAGGCTGTATCGCATGAACCATCATAGTTAGTTGAAATTTTCACAGATGATGTATTTCTGTTGCCCCTATAACAACAACAGAATAAAAGAAATAAAGAATTTTTGCTCGTTTTAGCTCGATATTGATGATATGATATGACGGCAACAGGTAGACGCTTGAAATATTCACAGAATATTTAGTTTTATACCCACTTAAAAAATTAATAATTAAATTAAAATTAAACATACATTTAAGGGGGCCTCCCTTACAACATATGCCATTATTTTGCCGATTTTATAGATAATGGTACGGAATACCATATTTTTGTGTGCTTACATTGCAAACGCTTGCTAAACCTTACGAGATAGACCAAAATAATGTACTACGGAATTGTATATCTTAAAAGATCTATAAAAAGTCCGCTATGGTATAATCATGACTATCTCCTAAGGATAAACAACAGTAACCATTTTATCTTTTAAATATTACAAAAAAATTATGGCTTATTTACGAAGCTATTATAAAGAATACATTATTATTCCTTATCAAATTAAATACGTTAGATACATTGTGCATTTAATGTAGATTATCTTCACAGCATATCATTCAAATGAATATTTTAGAAGATATTAGAGGTTTAAAATGCGAGGACAAATCGACCGTACGTCCATCCCGGGTGGCAACGGCCGGCAGAAATGGAGCGGGCCTATAATTATAAAGAGATATTATTTACATATAAAGATGTCCTTTATATGCAATATATAATTATAAGCAGTATGTAGTACAGTCTCATCAACGTCTAGCAAACAGCGAAAGGAACTTCGTTCCGACCGGGGGTCTATAGACCCCTCATGACGTTTTAATGGATTTTTTGCCCCCTGGCAAATGACCAGACAAAAGAAGACAGAGTTTGTCAAAACCATGTTGCTAAAATAAAAAAAGAACCAATCTGCGTTATAATGTATTTTTGTTGATCCCACTACCGTTGATTATATTGTAAAAACATTGCGGTCAAAATTTTGATGATGTAAACATAGTTTAAGACACAAAATGAATGCTCTGTCAGGGGATTAACTTTTTGGCAGTACGTCATATTTGATAATTGTCAGAAAAATATGAATGGACTATTGGAATTTTATAAAATATCTATTCTTTTTTAACTTTCATCTATTTTATATGTGTCTAATTTTATTGTTAGTTAACGTTTTATTTATACGTATATTATAGTTATTGTGCTAAAACTTTTGTTATTAATTTTAAAATATGCCACCAAAAAAGGAAAAACTCGCAGAACTGGTAACGTATGGCACAAAATTACTTAATTTCTTTAAATAAACGTAGGTATAGGTAGGTTAGTAGCACATTTCAGGGCATTGTATTGACATGTTACTGTGAGGAGTTCATAAGCTACCAATGCAACGGGATGGTTATAAGATTGATATTGGAAACCTATTCAATTTTTCATAAAATCTTATTGACAGAATTTCAAGCCATACTTTATTGTGTAGGAATAATAAATATGAAATGAAAGATGGAAGTTTTCTCTTCTATCCATGAGATCCAAAACATATACCAAAATACTTATTGGTATTTTACATCTATTGTTGGTCCAATCTCGGACCATGTGGAATAGCAACAAATACGCCCGAAAGGAGCCTTTGTATTTCCTCTTTTTTATTACTAAAACTAATTTTATTTCTCTTACACTTAGTAGTGTATAAATCCTTGTAGAGTACATCAGTCATTTACGAAATTATTATATTTATCAACGTATATTAAATTAGAATGTTAATTATGGTTATATTATCCCATCTGTTAATCCTGTACAATAAATATTTATGTTTATTATACAATACTTACTTACTACAATACAGTAGGCCAAAACCTCCTTTCTAAGGAGAGGCATATGTCCTATTAATGATGTGATGATGAACTTTTTTTTTTCTATTGCTATGACCCAGATATTTCATAAAATATGGGACACAAAATTTTACTAGAAATTGAACTCCGGTAGAGAATAAGTTAAAACCTTTTCTCTACATATCTAAAAATATTGTTTTAATATTCAGGATCCTGAACTAATTTTGAAAAAGAAATTTCAAGCAAAGTGCTTGTTTCGACGTATAGTGAGACTAGCATTGGCAAACTCCTATTGGCTTAATGAGTCCGAACGTTATGAAGGTGTTGATGACGTGAAAAAACGGGTAGCTCAAGCCATGCGCAAAAAAAAGCAAACCCAAAAGACTTTGTTAACTTTAGCAGTAAGTAAACTTTGAGACATCATATTAAATCATATTTTAGAGTATTAAACCTAGATTAACTTCTCTGGCATGGAAAGCATCTCTACTGATCTCCTCAATGAGAAAATTGTTGCTAATGTTAACTTATGTTTTGTTACTACGAGTTTTCATGACTATAATTCCTGCCATCTTAGTGTTAGGTATCAGTGGTTTTAATATTTCTTTGATTCTGTTAGGTAATGTTATACGGCAGCCGTATCTCTCATGGGTAAATAAAAATTAATGGCGAAAAACTCGTTAAGAACAAGTTAGTTTGTATCGAATCAATTGAAATGTGTCCTATCACTAAGGTGTGTGCATTGCCCCTTCTTATGCCGACTTCGTAGCAAAAAACGGGACTGATTTATTTTCTCTCCTTGCTTTTACACGAGCCGTCAATATATATATCAAAATACAAGTAGTTATTACGGCTACTAGCATTAGTGTTTTTTCATAATTTTAATTTAAATAACTAATTTCGAGATATTCCTTTTAGGACAAAGGTCTTTTGAATAAACCTGCTCACGATAGAACTGATCAGGAAAAAAAATACATTTATCGTATTATAGGCGGACTCAAATGTTTCAAACGATACCCTCATGTAAGTATTAATTTACTGGTTTCCATAGAGGAAAATAATTTAATTCCAGCCACTTAATGTTCATGTCGGAACTACGCAGAACAACAACACTGCAAAAAGAGAAGGAAAACTTGACACAAACCCTGTAGCGACCCGTCTGGCCAGCGTGGTATAGTAGGCCAAAGCCTCTTTTCTAAGGAGAGGCCAATGTCCAGCAGTTGACTGTTAAATGCTGTTGATGATGATGATGATATATATATACACATAATGATAAGGTAGTATATAGTATATATATCATCAAGTTTAGAAAATAATAAATAAAAGGTAACTTATTTTAATAAAACCCAGGAAGACTATAATTGCGTTGACACCGATCAGTGGAAACTCCAGGTAAACCGCAATGATATCCTATAGCCACAGGTTTTCATTGCGGTTTACTTGAAGTTTGTATGTAAACTCTACTGATATTTCGCAACTGACTTTTATTTTACAAGAATGGTATTGACGATACTAACGAAACATATGAACTGTTAGTCATATTGTTAATCAAGTCATCAACCCTCTGAATATCACAGCAATAATAGCCCTTTTTATAATCAGAACGTGAAAAAGAAATTAGCAGCTGTAACATACTTTAAATACTACGGGCCAGGTCGTGTGATAGTCCGTGAACACCAAAGCGGGCATGCGATGTATTTCATATTGTCTGGTAAAGTGTCCGTCACACATCTTGTCTACGATGGATTGTTGAATATTGAAGTCCCTGTTGAAATTGGAGACATGCACGCAGGGGATATGTTTGGCGAAGTGTCTTTGTTACATAATATACCTAGGACAGCAACTTGTACTACAGCAGGTTAGAGTAGTTTTCATATTCAGCTTTAATCTATCTTCTTAAGGTTATCGATAGTCAAAGCATCTAGTATACTCGTAGTTACTAACCGATGCAAGTCAATTTAATTATATTGGACACCTAGTCTAATATTATAAAATAAATAATATGATTACGCAGATCTGCGATGCGGCCATGCCCCGGACAAGACTACCCCAATACGTAGGTCCGCGCGTGGATCGCTAACGTTATTTTAGCACTGCGTCTTCCTGGACGACAAACAATACAAACGCCTTCAGGCAAGCTCTCATAGAGATTTTGCACTGATCAGCGCCTATAAAAGTTAAATTTGAATTTCTCTCTCACACTTTTATAAACACTATGCCATTAGACAGAACTAAATGTGTTGTGTAATTGTTGCATCAGTAGTCAATAAAAAAAGTCTATGACAAACTAATCAAATTATACAAATTTAAAGAAATATAATTTGCAGTCAGATTATTATCGCCTTTCATTCATGTCATAATCCATGTCACTGGTTGCTAACAACCCTGTGTTAGTAGGTATATCTAATGTGTTCTTATTAATAATTATCGTGTTATTACTAGATCATTGCGAGCTACTTGTGTTGATGAAAGATGATTTTAAGAATATTCTTCAAGCAACCATACAAGCCTCGTGGGATATTGTGCGCACTGCTATGTCCTTCTTCAGTTACTTCGATGGTCTAGATGAGGTAAGATATTTCTTTAAATGATGGATTTATGTGCACTTTTCTATTTGCGATCTTCTCTAAAACTGGTGATTGGTATCGGTATTGGTTGTGGGCTTCGGTTGCCGCATTTAGACTCAAGAGTGATCCTTTATGCGTCGAGAACTGGTTAGCTAGGTGAGCCAACCAAGCTCCTTCCAGAAGCGCAGAAGCCTCCTGGGGCGTTCACAGGCGTCTAGGAGCGATTTTGTATCGGGAATGATACTTGCCCGTTGTGTGGCTACTCCCTCGCATTCCAGGACTACGTGGGCGGACGTTTCTTCAGCTTCCAGACATCCCCTGTACAGAGGGCTGTCCGTCGCATTGATGATGAATAGTTGTCGGTTCAGGACTAGGTGTCCTGGTATAGTTCCGACAACTATCAATCTGCAGGTGAGTCGTGGTGTGACTTGAGTCAGCACCAGTTTGGACTGTCTGCAGCCGGGCGAGTTTTTCCACCTCCGGTTATGTGCTTCACGAGTCCCTTGCCTGGCCCAGAATCGTATTTGGTTAAACGGTATTGGCAGGAGTATGGTTGGGCCGGTAACTAGGGTTGCCGAGCCCCTCCTTGCTAACTCATCTGCGGCATCGTTCTCGTTTGAGTTACTGTACCCTTTAATCGATTGGAGGAGTACCACATTTAATGTGGCAAGCTTCTCCAATACTTGATGGTATTCCAAGACAGTACCAGAGGTCATTGTGTTGCCCTCTAGTGCCTTTAGGACGGCCATGCTGTCGGATAGCATTCGAATTTTATAGCCCTTGATACCCCTTGACGTGGCGTTGTAAGTTATTGCCACACATTCGCATTGGAATATGGAACTGTGTTGGCCTAACGCTAGTGATATGTTCATATTTAGATCTTGCGAGAAACTCCGGCTCCAGTTCCTGACCTAGTCCTGGAACCGTCCTGTTAATTCGGACTTCGTTAATGCCGGAATGATCTCGGTCATTTTCTTGTATCTGGCCGTGGAATCTTTTTGTGAAGATGTGGTGTTTTGGGATTCTATCGCATGGGGCTGCTATTAGTGGTTCGTATTCCACCAATTGATCCCATAACTTAAAGTACGATCCCTCACTTTTATGCCATAGGCCCAGGTGTCTGAGCCTAATGATCGCCTCTTTGGTAAGAGCAAGTTGCGTTCCAAATAGCTTGGGAAGTCTGAGGTTTCTTGGTCTGCGTTTGTTTGTGAACATGATCATCTCTGTTTTCGATGGGTTCACTGTCAGGTTGTGTGTTCCACACCACTGTTCAACGATCTTCAGTGCAAGTCTCATTTGATCGCATGTAAACAAAGGGACCGCTGATGTATCCTCATCAGCGGTCCCTTTGAGAGCAGATCGTCTGCATAGCCTGTTGTGAGGAATCTTCGGTCATTGAGTTGTGCGATGAGTTCATCCACAACAATGTTCCATAGAAGGGGAGAGAGTACACCGCTCTGGGGGCATCCTCTAGTCACCACTCCTCAATCCACCTCCCCTTTATTGAACAACTTTCTCACTTTACGACGTAGTCTTTCCAGTTCCGGACCCCACCATTGGTGTTTGTTCTGTGGTCCAGTTCTGGGTAAAGAAAGTGGGCATGTTTGTTCAAAGCAATCGTTCAGTATCTGTGTAAGGATGACAACATTGCTGTCGATGACCTTAACAGTCCCCGGAGCATATATTGAGTCAATGCTCCGCAGTTTCTCCGCAGTAAGATGCTCATACCGTTTCGTACCGGTCTATCAAGAGGGGATTCCGTCGGGGATCGGGTAGTTTAAGATTCAATTCAAAGTTAAATTTGATCCAGTGATGGTCCGAGCACGATGCTTCGTTCGAAATGTGTTGCGAAGCGTGCTCACTCGCTAATGTTAGGTCAATGATAGTTTGGGCCCTGGATGTGATAAATGTCGGCTTCGAGCCTATGTTAATAATGTTTAGCTTAGTTGATAGTAGGAACGATACAAATTCCTCACCTCTCCGGTTGTTGCTCCTGTTACCCCACAGCGCATGGTGCGCGTTGGTGTCGGCAGAGACGATCAGCTCCAGACCCTCGCGCTGTTGCTGTCTGACTGCTGGAGGTTGGTTTGGATGGCTATAAGGGTGTTGTTGGGGGGTACTGACAGCGTCATCATCGCTGCTCAGTATATCCTCCATGTCCTCGCCAGGGTCACCCTCGGCCAGTGGTAGGTCCTCCAACTTCTCAGGAGGTGGACCCTGGTGGGCTGGTCCCCGACGGGCCTCGGAGGATCACCAGTACAGCAGTTTATAGCCAGTTTATAGCCCAGTTTATAGTAAACTCTACGCTCGCTAGCCTTTAGTTTTAAGACGTCCTCCTCTGGGATGCCGAGACCCAGGAAGAGGCATTTCTTCTCCTCCTGTGCTTCGGCATGTTAGAGGGCCCAGTTGGCCACGTTGTACTGGCTATTTTGGTACCTTAGCCTCGTTTTATATTCGGAGCAGTGTGTCGTCTGGTCCGATTTGTGGCACCAGGAGTCCAGCCTTGATCCTTTTCGGGATTTCGGACTGCCTCCTGACTACCAGCTTGGTGCCTTCACGCGATCCTATCAAGGGTTTGGCGAAGCTACTATTAGATTGATTTAGAGGATATTTTTTTACATGTAATCTACTTAGAGAAGGCCTTAAATTATTTACCTATTCTATATTACAGGTGTCTCGACGGGAAGGTTGTATAATAGCAAGAATGAAATCATATGATGCAGATGAAGTTATATTCGGAGACAACGCCGGAGTCCGTAATTTTGTCTACTTCGTGTTATCTGGTTGTTGTCAAATGATTGAGACCATGAAAATTATTGAAACCAAACGTTTAGGACGCACTTACTATACACTTTATGATCCATATGTAATTTTCTTTCTTTTGCGAGTATACAGTTTTGTTTGTATTGTTCTTTGTCGTACCCCGAATTCGCACCCGGGGCAACACAGAATCAGTGTTTTATACTTCTATTTTATTAAAAATCTTATTAATCTTAATGTTTTAATTAAAAGTAGATCATTATATATAATCCTATAAACTTGTAGTTTTCTTTGAAATCATTTAGTGTTCGATTTTTTCCTCTGTCCAGGTTGCGGAAGAAGAAAGTGATAATAAATTGGATGAGAAGTACTTTGGACTTCTAGCTAGGGATAGTACGGAAACTCTACCGCTATCTCTGGCAGAATCATCAACAACAGTGGCATTCAAAGCTCTAGACGATATACATCAAATGGAGGAAATGACGACAGATGAACAAATCAGTGATGTGGCTGATGGAATACGCGACGAATCCAAATCTCTACGTTCAGCTGGTCCCTCTAGCCAAGGAATAAAAGAAGGCCAAGAATCAATTATGCGTGTTAAAAGTGAAATTAAACCAACCATACTTTATGAACGTGGTCAAGAGCACCATCGTGAATCTGTAAGGTACATCTTAAAACATTGTGCATAATATAATACAATAGGCAGGGCCATGGTAACTAGACTGCTGATGAACATTTTTAAATATTTCTAAAAACATACCATACTATGGGTAAATTACACCCAGACACAGAACAGATGATTGTGCTCGCCCTACAGATACAATAATATCAAAATAACTTAAAAATACCGATTTTTTAATAATAATAATAAGGATTTATTTCAGACATTGGTCCGAATATGTGTTAGTAGCAATCATCTTACACCTATGTTAGTTCTCATTACAAACAAATCACAAACTAAAACCACCTCTGTACATCTGGAAGGTCCCAACACTTGGACAATACTCTCAGGACGCCATTGGTGCCACCTAGTAATCGAGTGTACATTGACGGGCTTAGCTATCTTGTAATCGCTTAAAAGTCATCGCAATGTGCCTTCGCGAACATGTTTGAGGCGCTACAAAACCTCTTCAGTTTCAACAGCATCTTAAAAGCATTGTTGTATTGAACTCGCAGTGCGCTGTACGCCCGCTGCTTCAGGTTAGTCCACAGGCTGCAAAAGTAGAAAGACTGACAAAATGCTTTGAAAAGAGTAACCTTTAAAGCTTATGAGCCAACATATTACACCGGACGGACAAACCCTCTCAATATCAAGATCATCTGATAAGGTCATCGGCGACCCGGTGGCCAAGGTGCTTAAACTTATTTACCCTCTTTAAAGTAGTACCGCAAAAAGAGTGACTGGAGGTACAAATAAGTAACATTAGTACTACTTTTAAAGATCATAAAGTCTCACTGTCTCATTCGCTGCATATGACTCACAAATGTCTATCAACTTACGTAATACACCAATCGATGGTCTCAACAACACCATGTTATCAGCGTAGCTTATGTTATTTATGCACACACCATCAATAGAACAAGCAATGTTTGTGATCCTGAGCTCACCGATCAGCCCATTTCTATACAGATTAAACACATGAGGCAAGGAGAGTGGCGTGAGAAAAGGAACCATACTCCTGTACCTATGCGACCGCTCATTTGACCACCGTACCCTATTTTTCTGCTGACTGTATCAATATTTAAACGGATATACAATCTCACGTGTTAAATTCGTACCACATAGTTGCTTCTGCCACAGCCTGTCATACCTAATTAACAAGCTTTTGGGACATCGAAATAATGATATGGGTATATTTCTAGCTGTATAGTACTGAACAGTCTGCTTGAGACAGAGTATAGCACTCTAAGTTGATAAACCGGTCCTAAACACATACTGTGCGTTATGTAACTGTAGGTGCTGTCCCAACTGCCGGCCAAGAAAACTGTCCAGCACTTCAGCAATGACAGTCGCAAGTGAAATTGGCCTTTATTAGACATATTCGACAAGTCGCCACTCTTTTTCTTTATGATAGCCAAGACGTCAGTGTACATTCAATTGTCTGGCAAGGAACTAAGACTAACACACATGTTAAACAATAATGCAAGCACTCTCGGTAGATGTACGTCCGCATACTGCAAATACTCGATGCTAAGACTATCGGGACCCAGGGATTTACCTCTCACCATATTTAAAACTTCATTCTTTAATTAAGCTCATTACCTCACTAGCAAGACCTCGGTAAGCATCGCTCTCCCACGGTACAGGATCCACTTTTCATCGCAGGTAATAATTCGATTCAGAATTCCATCTCTGATGGTGGCTTAGTTCGTGTCACTTAGCCAGCTTTTTTATCAATGTTGTTTTGATACTAACTCCAAAGACCGCAGCAAGCTTAGCCGTAGATTGAGTTTTATCCGCTTCCACTATTGCCCTCAATGCGTCGTTGTCGAGTATAGTTACCGGCCCTACCGCGAGGCTCGTTCTTCAACTTAAAATTTCCAGATCTAAAACGATTTGTGTTAGGCCTGTAGACGTCTGATCGCACGGAAAATGTGATCGGGCTGCAACATCTGGATAGGCTGAGAGGCAGGGAGAAGCCACTGGCTTTCCCTGAGATGGGGCCTAGTTAGGTGTGGCGTCGATCTGGGGGACCTGAAATCACATGGCCCGGGGTTCTCCCCAGAGCAGGGCGCCTAAGGCTGGTCGTCGGAGTGGTTTTTAGTGGAATCACCACATACTCCTGGCTCCTATATCCCCAAGGAGCCGGAGATCCGAAGGGATTTTCCACTCTGTCAACAAAAAAAAAAAAGCCCTGTAGACGTCTTTAATGTTTCGTGTTGTTTTTCCACATATTTCCAATTTCTAAAACAAATGACTAAATTTTAAATTAAAATAACGGCTTTCGAATAAGATTTATTCGAATTTGGAATTGCGCGCCAATTTATCTAGATCTAGATTTTATTATCTACAAAATCTGAAAATGCTGGTTTTAAAATTCTCAAACTTCATAGGTATAAACTTTTATACTAAACTTGAATCCACATTGTTATTTATCTTATAACCAATTTTTATCTTTTTATTTTATGTGCTATTCACTAAAAATAATAATTAAACTTGGCCCAAAAACGGCTTAGAAACGGAAAAGGCGTCATATCTACGTATAAAAAGTCGTCCTCTATTTGTTCTCCGTTAAGTAGCGTAAGCCGGTATTGATTCGATTACTCAATCGTTCCTTGTTAGATCCCTCAATCGATACACATTTAACTTTATATCACTGTAGGTATTTTATAGATATTTATTTGTGAAACTTTATATTATTTGATTAGATTTTCAGCTTTAAGGTTTTATGTTACTCTCTAAGTTTTGTTTTTTACCACCGTAGGTTTAGTATGGATCAAGTCATGCAAGGACCATCAGGACAACCGCCGAACATGAGAACTTATTTTATGCAGGTAAATACTTTATTCATATAATTTTACGTTTTATACAGGACACAATAGATATAACAAACTATTTAAATAATTGAACAAAAAATAATACGAATTATTTTATAGCTAGTACAAAGAAAAGAATGGTAATACCATGAAGCAAAACAAATTGTTTGAGAACCGATGTATTTTCATAAATGATAAACGCATTACACAATAATAAGAAATTTATCAACAATTTACTTCTTGCTAATCCAATGTTCGTAAGTGTCAGGTCAAGTTTCACCGGCCAACTAAGAAAAATTAAAACAGTTATTTTTCAAATTACAAGATTCGATCAGAAAGTAATAAATATTTTATAACCGGCATCGCTCGTTCATGGTTTTGGGGGTCCTAGTCACCATCAGAACATATTCGTAACAATACAAAAACATTTTTGGGCGAACACGGTCTTCCGAAGAAGCAAACTGCTTTTTTATCTCTTGTTTTAATTAAAATTATATGTATCTGTGTTAGTGTGAATTTTTTTTGTTTTGTTCTCATGAAATTATGTTACAAAATAGGTTTGTCTATTTAATCCTGGATCGACATTTGGTTTCGGTGAAAATATGCGAGATCGACGTATCGTGGCTTTAACCCCTGTGGAATGCATGTTGATGCCAAAAATATGGCTTTTACAACGCAACACTGCCAATATTTGGACACGTATTCGTCACTACCTGGAAAAAAAGGTTTGTGTTCAATGCATTTTTGATTGCTCGTAGTCGCTATAGTAAGTCTACAGTAAGGTGTTCCAAAAAAAATCTGTATTTTTTACCGAACGCATACCCTCTAATTATATTTGAATGGTGTCAAAAGTAAATAAAAATTCATATGCCTAGAACCAAAGCAACCCGTGCAGACTTGCATCGATACATCTTAGTACTTTCATACTTTGGCGCGTCAGAGTTAACGTATCGAAGTGTTTGTTATTACTTGCTTGTTTTGATAGTAAACACCTTTTGCTTCAGTCAAGATAGAAATGGCATTATACAGCTCTAAAGAAGGAGGAAGGAATTAAAAAACAATTTACCTTATACTAACTATGGTGAGATTTACAAAAAATACGAACAAAACAAGACATATTCAAAAATCGTCTACAAGAGTTTGTTTCAAACTTTGATAATTTGTTCAACATTGCACATACCGATGCACTTCAACTAATAGAGATAACTGAAGATAGGATCTTCTTGCAGCGCCAGAGAGAGCCAGGCAGACCTGGTTACTTAGCTTGAGTGAACAAAAAGTTGAGCAAAAGAGGAAAAAGTACGTCTTTGATACATCGAGGAACAAAAACTTGGGTCTAATTATTATGTATTTAACTGCTTTGACGTCATCGTATTAAGGAAATTAATCTTCTATTTCTGAAGTAATAGATTAGATTAACAAGACAATTCGGGCACCTCAACCGAGAGCGCTGAGTACTACGAGTATACAACAAAAATTAATACTCCAATGAAAAAAAATTTAACACTCCAAAATTGGTAGCAGATTTAGAAGTACAAACACAGACTGTATTTGATATTGTATTATTATTCCCAATAGTAGCCTATTGAGGCACTTACACTCAACACGAAAATTATCAGCAAGTCCTCCATTCAAAGAGTCGTACAAAAAAACATCAATTTGTAAAAAATGTAGACAGAGAAATAAAAATAGTTTATAAGTTTTCAAGGTAAACTACACAATATGCGCTAAGAAGCATCCCCTCCAAAGAAGATCTTTCTGGTTTACTTTACAAGTCACCAATGACTTCGCTTTTATAAAAAGTCCTTGTTCAATAATTTCCAAATTGATGATAGGTATCCAAAGAGTCCTGTCGTACCTCATGGTCTAAAAAGTCCGACTTTTCAACAATTTAAAAATCAGGTGATGACACTGAGAGTCTTTAATGATACAGTAGAGAGATACATAAACGCGTATACCCTCTTTTTTTTTTCCGTGCGGAAATCCCCTCGGATACCACCTGTCGGTGGCATGTCGGACTCGAACCGACTAAAACCGCACGCCGTCTCGGGTACTAATAGCCGGGGAACCAGGTATACCCTAGAAAGGAAGTCCCTGGTGCCCCGACATACCTCGGGTCATCTTCAGACGAGTAGACGACCCCCCCCCGTGTGGAAACCCCATGTTCCCTGTGCTCCCTGGAAGCGAGCGCGCTTCGCAACGCGCTCGCCGCCACCCCGGCCTGCTAGGGTGACAGATTGCCTCACCTGTCACCCCCAGGCCTGCGCTTATGGAGGACGGAGGTCGTTTTGCGACCTCCGGCGCCTGAGTCGCCTGCGGTACCTGGCCCGTTCCCGGGCCTGGCGGGCCGGGAGAGTCCTAAACCTCTCCCGGTCCCGCTCCGCCGTCTCCTGCGCGAGCATAACTTGCTCGCAGAAGGAGACGGCAGAGTTCCACGCACTCTCGCTCCGCACGATAGCCGCAATCAGGCTATCGAGCGAGAGAACTCCCACTCCGATGGCCGCCACGAGGTCTCACCTCTGCTCAACCCACGCCGGGTACTCTGCCAGCGTGTGGAGAGCCGTGTCCACGGTCTGGCCATCGCAGTGGTGGCACTCAGGCGTTGGCTCCTTGCGGATCAGACACAGGTGATCCCCGAAACATCCTTTCCCAGTGATCACCTGCGTCAGTCGGTATGAGAGGGTCCCGTGATGCCTCTCGAGCCAATCCTCCATAACGGGTCAAAACGCGTATACCCTGACTGTAAAAAGTATAATAAATAACGTTATTTAATAATAAACATTAAATAAATGTATGATATAATTATTAAACAAATAAATGATGTACATATATGTTTATTTAGTTAATAAAAATGACCTGAACAATCTTCATACAAACATTTTTACAAAAGTTTGACTTCAAGTCGGCACGGATTATCGTTATCCGATACCAATAATATTTTTTATTTTAGTTATTGGGGTCAATTAGAAAAAATACATAGAGTATGCGTACTTAAAATAAAAAAAAGGCTGGGACACCCTAGTATCGAGGGCGAAGCGGGCGGCGTAAGCGCGCTTACCAGCGCATCATGCACCCTGAGTGTGGTTGCGAGTGGACGGGCCGTGTTTTCTTCTCCATCCGCTATGGTGGCCAGCGAGGAGGCGACATCCGGCACACGCGGACGTCGCCTCCTCGCGGCTGGCCACAAATCGAGAGTTTACCGAAAGGTGGTGCTCGCGCTGTTGCTGGGAGGGGTCCGGATGTCTTAATATCAGCTGTTCCCGGGCTCTCCTATCTCAGGAAGTGGCACACCGTGTGGTTTTAGTCGGTTCTATTTCCACACACCGCCCCGCCTCAAACCCCGGTGGAGTGACGGACGGACATGTTAAAAAATCGTAGTATACTTACAGTGTGAAATTCAATTTGTATTTCAGTTAATTTAAAAAGTTTGTACATCAGTTTGTAAGTTACGTCTGGGGCATTAGCTATTTTTAATAAAAAGGTTGTATTTTTACACTAGTTGCCTACTTAATTTATCCACAGAATAAAGACCGCCTCGGGTGCTTAAAATGTCGAACGCGACAATATCTGATGCGTGGCGGCTCATCAGCCGCATACTTGTAGCTTATTACGTGGAGTGGGCTTCACTTGCTTTATCTATAGAAATAAATAAAATTGAAGTGACCGTTTGTAATGTCAAAAAATAGGTTTTTTCATGCTCTCACAGTTATTAGAAACAGAAACCAGTTTAAATAAATGTTGTCTGTCTGTTTGTTCCGAGTAATCTTCAAAACGGCTGGACCGATTTCGATAATATTCTACTACCAAATCACTGTAATTTAGTTATTTTTCTCTCAGAGAAATCCTATATAATTTCGCACGGTCCGGGAATCCAACCCACTAAGCAGCGCTTTTCAATTTCCACGCGAACAAAGTCGCGGGCACGAGCTAGCTAGATAGATTGCATTTACATATTATAGCCTATTTGTATTTCGTAACATTATTGACGGTCTTGTTGTTCTGGTGGTTAGTGACGGTCGTGGGTTCGATTTCCACCCAGGAAAAATATTGTGGATGGTCACGATCATTTGCTCTGGCTGGGTGTTATTTATCTAAAATGAATGAATGAATAAATGAATGTGGTACAATATTATATTATTATTATTATTATTATTATTATCTATAACATGTATATATTTAGAAAAAATTAAGTACGTTTATCATCAGTCTGATTACGATAGTACAGGGTCCACCTAGCTTGGAATCAGACAGCCGTGTGAGATGTTTGAAATGATTATTATTCATTATCTATAATAATAAAATACTAAAAACAAAAGTAATATCTATTTGCGTACTAGATTAACCATCTATTCATTGCATAAAGTACTGAATGACAAAAACTGATAAAGTTTTAGTAGATTCACACGAATTTGTATTCATAAACCAATTTGGTCCTTAAAGAATTTTGTGATTCCTGCTCGCTATGATGCCGTATTTCCTCCCTTAACGTTGCCCTTATTTTTTTAGATTCCTACAAAGAAACAATTGTTCAAAGTATTTGAGGTTGAACGGCATTGGGTGGAGTTCCGTGAGCAGCTGGTGAATGACGTCGTTTCTCGCTGCAACACTGTGAATTCAACAACAGTGCACGACGTTCCGTATTCTATACGCATGGAAGAAATGTTAGACCTATAACTATGCATTGATTAGTTACAAATTATGTATATTCCGTAAATAAAATGATTAGCAAGGGTGTAGAGGTTTTGTATTTTAGGTGCCTACAACAAGATTTCATATCACAAGTTAAGTATTACGTATTTAATCTTGTGTCATATATTTTATACTCCTCTTTTCTGTTTTTTTAGTTTATTTACAAACAATATACCTGGCTGTATAATACGTAGGTACCTACGCCACGTAAAGTCCGACTTGTAAAAATATCTGAAAAGATTTACTTACAGAAATAAATATCATTTCATTTCACGTACGGTCACGAAGAAGAGAAGAAGAGGCCTCAATGGACCGTAATAAACCCTTTAGCTTTCAATATGTTTAAATTTAATGATTTTATTATAAAAAATATTAACAATGCCAATACGATTAACTTCGATCACCAGAACATTAGTAAATTAGGTTTTAGGTATTTTACTCTCTTTTCAATGAAACCTCTTTGTTGCTTACTATTCTACGTGTTCCGTGTTGTATTGATACAAATCCTTCAAAATTGAAATAATAATCTTTCTATGGTTTTTAGTATCAGAAACATTAAGTTTGAAGTAGTGAACATTTTACTAATTTCCTATGCTGTTTAGTTCTCTAGTTCTATATTTGGGTGTGGACTGGAGGCGGCTTAAATTGGCTTAGTTACGTCCTTATTAGGTTCATACGTTCTCTTATCTTATAGACAAAAATAGGTACCAAAATTTTGAGATACATTAGTATTAAAAGCACTAGAATATTCTTTAAACATTTTATTAATATCATTCAAAAATTATTATTTAAAGATGTTTAAAAATGTTATTTTTGATTTATTTTAATCTCCCACCCGGAACCAAAAAACCTTTAAGTTATTAGCACTCAGACGTTGACATAATCAAAGAAAGATGATTTATATTATGAAATATCTTTTGCCTGCGTATGCGCGTTACGCCTTGAGTCACACGACACCTATGTAGTGAAATTGGGAAAGGAATAGAATTTGTAGGAAATTTTTCTACCTAGATGGCGCTTGCTGCCCCCCGCACTCGGGGTACTAATCGCTCGAAATGCTGTTCGAAGTGCTGGACTGCAGCGGCACCCACGCGGAAGCGTGAGCTGGGTGGTTCCTGGCGCTTACAAAGGCCATGGAACCATATCGCTTCAGTTTTTTGAGAATCCCCAGTACAGACCTATCAACAGCGCCCGATCTAGAGCACCATCAGGTTTGGGCGCTGTGTTGCGGGAAGCCAGTCATCACACGACTCGGTCCAGCTCTCCCTTCATCACCTTATACTCGTCGGACCAGAGTTGCCGATTCGATTGTGACTGAGGGATCAAGGGACTGTTCTGGACCCTTGGGAAGAGCGTGTCTACCACTCTTCCCTGGAACTCCGGGTCCAGAGTTTCCGTGAGTTCTTTTCAGGACCGAGCTTAGCCTTTATAGCAGCATGGTTCCGCCGTGCTACGTCGATCACCTAGGCTGTGGCTCGCTGGTATCTCCCGGGCGGTTAACATCGGCTGACGTCTTGCAGTCAGTTGTATGTATCAGTCCTGTCGAGCAGTTGTACAGCTACCACGTCCTGGGTGCAACTCAGCGGGACCCGCTGTATTAACATAACGCTGCCAAAGACGACAAATCACGCTCCTATTGCCACTAAATGCCGAGATAATTGGGACAGATTGCTTCCTGCTTGTATCATTTCTACAGCTCTCTGCATTTCATCAGCAGTCAAATGGCATCGCTTCATGACAGACAAAATGACTAACCACTCGATTAAAAAAAAATGGTATATCTCAAAATGATAAAAGTAAGATAAATATCCAAATCAAGTAACGAAAACATGTGTGTGTATCTATTATGTTCAGTATATAATAACAATAAAAAAAAAGACTTGTGGCACTCGGGGACTGCCGCGGTAAAGCTATTGCATAGCATTTTTTATCAACTTAATATTAATACACTTAGTATTAAATAATTATCTCAGGAAAACCCTATAGAAATTTTCCCGGCCGGGAATCGAACCCAGTAAGGCAGCGTTTTCAAATTCCACACGAACAAAGTTGCGGGTACCAGCTAAAAAATCTGTAGGGGCCAGATTGTTCGTCTCCTTTTCCCGGTTCAGACAAACCCAAACATGGAGTCCAAGTGCTCCAGGTACTGAGAAAATCAAAGGGGGGATAAATGAATTAAGTGGAGGGGAGAGAAGGGGAGGTATTTTGAAGGGACCGTATTGTATGTGGATGTTATTAGGTTAATAAAAATGAACTGGTCTCCCCCCTTTGGCAAAAAAAAAAAAAAAAAAAAAGTTTAAAGAGTAACTTACTAAGTAATGAATAATATTTCGATAGGCCAGTTAAATCTTCATAACGATAAAATAGCTACATCAGAATTAGACCGTTTAATTTTAGAACAAAAGTTAGACATTGTCCTTTTACAAGAACAATATCAGAGCGCTCACTTGCGTCGTAATGTAGTACAGCTTGACTGCCGTTCGCAGGCTGGGATATATGTTGCAAGTTCTAATTTTACGGTAACATCTTTGCGTAATCTTATGACGTCACACTGCGCCGTTGCTGAGATCTCATCCTCTACCTGTAAGGTTTACGTAGTGAGCTGCTATTTTCAATATTCACATCCTATTGATCCTCACTTACATCACTTACGTTACGTCTTGCAGTTCCTCGTGGGACATAAAATTATCATTGGCGCTGATGTCAATGCGTCATCTTCATTATGGTATGGCAAGTTGCGTTCAACCGACACGGTTCGACGTTGTGCGGTTGAAGATTTCATTGCGGAAATGAATCTTATTATTCACAATACCCCCGATGCACCACCAACTTTTTGCAACCCAATGGGTGAGTCTTCTATTGACGTGACGCTTACGCGCGGCGACGTCTCGATATCCGGATGGCGTGTCCTTCCGGACGCATCCTGTAGTGATCACCGCTTGATCGTGTACGAATTCACACCAAGGGTTGCACAGGATCCACAAAGGGCTCCCTATAATTTTAGATATAAAACTAAAGGTGCGAACTGGGCTTTGTTTGGTTCACTCTTTGCAACTCATACCAAAGACTTCAGTCGCAGTAGTTTATCAGCTGAGGAAAGCGCAGAAATACTATCAGAAACTTTCACATACTGCGCTGATGTAACTATTGGTCGCGGATCTATCACTAACACTCGTAGATGTGATTGGTGGAATGATAGATTAGCCGAACTACGTAGAAGCTACCGGAAAGCTCGTAGAAAATTAAACACTATTAAAAAACATAACGTAACAGGAGATTTGTACAACATTGCTCTCATTGCTCTTAGAGTTGCCAGGTCCCACTACAGAGCTGCTGTGGAAAAATCCAAGGGAAACTTAATTCAGAAACTTGTTAATAAACTCGATAGAGAGGGCCCGTGGTCACCTTTGTATCACGAATTTAAGGCAAATAGATCAATCGACCACGCATACATACAGAACATCAAAATTAATAACAGATATACCACAGGAGTAGAACAAACAGCAGAATATCTTTTAGACTCACTCGTACCTGACGATCGACCGGAAAACGACACTGATCATCACCGACAGATCAGGCAGTGGGCCATCGAACCACCACTGTCTCCAATGTCTGATTTACCATCTTCAGACGAATTTCTCGGTATCATTAGATCCTTGCCGCTAAACAAGGCTTCGGGTGATGATAAAATATCTAACAAAATGATAAAAGAAGCTTGTAAACTTTCGGGTGACACGATTTTCACTGTCTTTAAACGTTGCATTGCTGAAGGAATATTTCCTCGTATATGGCGGTGCGGTAATATTCGTATAATACCAAAAAGTGGCGACAAGCCACCGGATGATCCTAAATCCTACCGACCAATCACATTGTTACCATCGTTAGGAAAGCTTTTAGAACGTCTTGTAGTGCCCCGGCTTCTGCCAGGTGGAGTCAAATTTCATGATAGACAATTTGGATTTACGTTGGGTAAATCGACAACTGACGCTGTTATATCGGTTAGAAAGTTTGTCACAGAGTCAAAATTTCAATACGTGCTGGCTATTTTCTTAGATATATCTGGCGCCTTCGACAACGCATGGTGGCCCATGCTGTTGCTGAAATTAAAATCACGGGGGTGTTTTAAAAATATTTATTCCCTTATCTCTTCGTACTTTTCACAAGGTACAACTAAACTAAGACTTGGTCATCATTCTGTGTCGAAGGCGCTTACAATGGGATGTCCTCAGGGATCGGTGCTAGGTCCATACTTGTGGAATATCGGCTTCGACGATTTTCTTACGATGCCAATACCATCCGGATGTACTCTGAACGCGTATGCTGATGACGGCTTATTACTGGTGGAATCTGATACTAGGGCGGGGCTTGAGAGATTAGCCAATAGATGTTTGAACTTGATATCTCAATGGGGTGAACGTAATCGCTTAACTTTTGCACCCAACAAAACCTTCCAGTTACTTTTAAAAGGTAACCTCAAATCACCGCCGAGCATTAGATTTGACAATGTAACTGTAAAAAATAAAACCACAGTGTGTTATCTAGGATTAGTTTTAGAAAGAAACTTTTCATTTATCGAACATATTAAAATAGTTAATGAAAAGTCTAAAAGAGTTTCTGTGCATTGACAAGGATATCAACTGCGACATGGGGTCTATCATTTAATACATTAAAGATCATATACGGAGCTACTTATTTAGGTTCTATGTGCTATGGTGCACCTGTATGGGCCGATAGGGCGACCGTAGGCGCTGTCCGTCGCAAACTGTTACAAGGCCAACGACTGGCACTGATATTTTTTGTGCAAGGCATATAGGACGGTTAGCACTGAGGCTTTGCCGGTGTTGGCAGGTGTCCTTCCGGTCGATCTCGAGGTGCAGAGACGTGCAGCCATGTACTATTCAAGACAAAACATGGAATGCGATTTCTTGGGCGCGCGGGATCGCGGTAAAATTACAAGATTGCTTCAACAGCAGTCCGATGTCTAT